AACTAGTTTTATGTGGACATGTACAATATTCTTTTGATTCTCAGATTTTATAAAAAATTAGACTTGGACAAAGAAAAAAGGAAGCCTGTGGGGGATGATGAAAGTATAGAAGACGTGGATGATGAAGAATTTGAAAAAGCATTAGGTAAGGCTATGCATATTGTTCTGTTCCTCCTCTCATGTAAGTAATCATAAATGATACACAGAACATTTGATTTCCTTTGAATGTGACAGTTACTATTTGACGTCAGTCTTAAAATCCTGAAAATGCTTTCATTTCCTTCCCACCTATACTAAATAGAATTAAGTTACTTTAAGTTACCTACTAATATTTTCTTTTGGGGTTTAATTCATGTTTTGCTAGCTGCTATTTTCCTTCTGTGATTCTCTACAATGAATTATAATAAACTGAACTTTAAAATTTTAAATATTTTAACTTTGACATTACAATATTGTACTTCTGAACCTAATTTCTTTCAGATTCATTTGAACAAGACAATTATTTTGGGAACATTGAGAATGATCTTAATTTTGCGGGGTAAGATTTTTTAAATTCAATATAAATTCTAAAGATTCTAGATAACATTAATAACTGATTTAAACTAGCATTAAGAACTGATTGTACAGTATATAGTGCATTGATGGCTCGGAACTTTTCTGAACACCCCCTCCCCCCCGTTAATATTGTATCACTGAATGGGATTTAGAATAGCTCTTCGCATTTGAAATACTATTAGCAATCATCCAAATTACTGTGAAATTGATGTAATTTTATGCAAAACATAACCATAGAGCATGCTTGTTTTCTTTTAGTTATTTTGCAGGGTTTTGGTTTGAACAAAAATGAGACACCTCTGAGAATTATCTGTACTTTAGAAAGATCTGAACACACCAAAGTGATTTACCTGATGTAATATCAAAAACTTTTCTTAACCTTTTGCAGTTTTTTAATTGTTTTGTTTAGAAAGGATAAAATGTTTTTGAAACTAATATTTGATTTCTGAAGTGTATGTCTTATGTCCTCGGTCAGCTTGTCCTTGAGATTCAGGAGAAATCTCAGTGTAAATTGCTCAGATCTACATATTAAAATGTACTTCTCTTCCTTATATGAAAATAATTTTGATAGTGTGTATGGAAATAAACTAATCCCGTTTTGAGTTATTTTTTGCCATAATTTGATGTAGATTAGAATTCCTTTTTCATCTAGAAATACAGAGAGTGATATAAAGTGCTTGTGCTTGAAATAAGGAGTATATAAGAAACAGTTGACACGGAGTGTTTACTTTCCCGGCATTCATTATGAAATAAAACTTTGTGTCAACTTTTTTCTATATGCTTTCTATTTCAAGCCCTATTAAATGAAAATAATCAAATGGAAACCCAGTCAAATAAGCAATGGATCATTTTTGGTTGTATCATCTCCCTTCCCCCTCCAATATATTTGCAGTTTAGTGTTTTCTTTATTGAATAGTTTAGAGCACTTTTTTCTTACTGGCCAAGAAGACAGAAACTGGGAGAGCCAATGATGCTTCAGTGTGTGCTTTTGTTCCCATTGGTTCAAGTTTCACATGCTATGAAATGTTAGCGTTACAGGAGAACAGGGATTTGGGATGGAAAGCTGATCAGCATTCTTGAATTATATAAAGAGATTTAGGAGATCAAATTTAACCATTATGTCATTTTGTGAAAGTATCTGCATCAAACCACATTTATAGTACATCCTATACTGTATGTCTATATTTGTGCACATTTATAGCTAGTTCCCAGTGAAAAGTTTCTTTTATCAAGTACTCCAGCTTTGGATCAGAGTTGTAGCAGCAGGCTGGGTGACTTTAAGCCAGTCATTCTCTCAATCCAACTCACCTCACAGGGTTGTTGTAGGGAAAATAGGAAGAGGAAGAATTAGGTATATTCACTGCCTTGAGCTATTTAAGAAAACAACAAAGGCAGGATATAAGTAAATAATTATGGGTGTTGAAATATCACTCTTGGTTTTAGATACTACTATTTCTGATGCAGATTTTTTTATCTTTTTCCTATTGCATAAAGGTTGACCAATTTGTCCAATATAAAGTAATGTAGCATTAATGGCTGTGGTTCTTCAGAATTTCTTACAGTGTAAGGAAGCATTACCAGTAAATTCCTTAATTGAGTTATCCGATTAAATGCAGGTCATAAATTCTAATTTGATTAGCATTCATAAAGTTACGTATTAACGCAATTGTATACTGTTCTAGTCAAAAACACTGGGAGAGATACAGAGAACATAAGCTGGGCTACCTCAAAATAAAGCACCACAATCATAAATAAGATACACTCTTTCTCCAAGTATCTAATCCACAAAGTTCTATTTAAAAAGGAAGATAAGAATTGTGAGAAAAAGTGTATATAAGTTTATTTCCATCATTTTTAGTAATATAAAAGTCAAAAAGAAAAAGAAGAAAAATTCAAATGACGAAACAGAATCAGAAGACTCTGAGGAAGACAATTTTGAGGACCTGGATGATGAGGAAGTCTCTCTGGGTAGTATGGATGAAGACTTTGGGGAAGATATTGATGAAGAGGGAGGGACTTTCATGGATGTGTCAGATGATGATAACACTTCAGGTAAACAATGGTTCCCATAATCCTAAAACTTTTTACTCTTGCTAAAACAGTTAAACCATACAAATAAATTGTTCCACTTTTAAAAGTTATGCTGTAGAAATCCTTGTAGTTAATCAGAGGAGATCTGAAATCTTGTTTCAATATTTGTAGTATGCAAGTGTTTCCAAATGGACATCAAAATTTCATGCTGTAATTTTCAATTTTATTATGTAATACAAGTTTTACTAGCTTTTCTTTTTGTTAACAGATGAAAATAATGACACTGGAATCACACCTGGCAGTAAGAATGGCAAAAGAAAAAAAGAAATGGATTTTGCTGGATCAGTTAAAGATAATATAGGTAAAAGTAATACTTTTAAGACTTGACAAATAAGAAGCATGAGAAATTCATGTTTCTGTCAAAATACCAAGGGATTAGCATAAGTTATCAGAATTATTTTCTTTCCAGTGCACAATCATAAGCCGTTTTAGACTGCACCAGGGATATATATTAGTGACATTTGGAAGGTTTAAAATAAGGGATTTAAATTTATTTATTCAAATGAAAGTAACTCCACATTTTTGCACTGTAATATAATTTCATTGAACCCCACATTCATTTTGTTAAAATGAATGTTGTTTCTAATTTCATTATAAAACAATTTACCAATCAATCTAGTTTTTATATCAGAGGAGTAGCTGGTGTAACATCAACTTTATAAAAAGTAAGAATTTCAGTGAGGGAGAAACATGGAAATGTTTAGTCTATTATTAAATTTATTCCTTCCAAAGGTAGGAAAGTGGTAGGTTCTGTAAATGAAGATGTTGCTGAGTTAAGAAACTAGAACTGTTCATTGTACAATATTTCTATCCAATTCAGATATGTGGATTTTTCTAGTTCACTTTAGCTTCAGCTGATTCTTTGGCAACTACTTTGTTATACTAATAACAATGAATTCTTGCTTTATGTAAAACTGCACAGAAGCAATTGGTGAACACTCTTTTTCTTTAAGGGCCAAAAAAGAGAAAAAGAAAACTCAAAGATACTGGTGCTGCTGCTGCTGCAGAAGAGGTAAGTATATTGATTTTAGTATCTGTTAAATGGTGTTTAATTTGAAGGCATTCAGAGATCTAATTGTGTTGCATTTCTTTTAAAGTTTGGTCACTTGCTTGATGAAAATATTGGGTCCAAGTTCGACAATATTGGAATGAATGCAATGGCCAACAAAGATAATGCAAGTAAGTAACTTGTATATGAACATCTTTGACATCCCACCTCAACAGGGTGTACCTACTGTAAATTTTCCTACTGATCAGAGCCATCCCTATAGTGTTTATTAGGATTAAGGAAAGTGCATGGAAGTACTTAATATAGTTGTTAAACTGCTTGGTAGTGTCTTTTGTCACTTATATTCTTATTTCATTGCTTGTTGTCGCCAGGGGGCAGGTGTGGGCTTATTTTTATTCTTTATATATTGAGTTTTTATTTTTTGTAAGCTGCCTAGAGTCGCTGAAAGTGAGTGGGCAGCCATATAACTTTTCTAAAAAAAAAGATAACTTTTGTGAAAAGGCTTTTAAGCATTCTGCTGTTGAGAGGCTTCCATTTATCATGTTAATTGGAATTTTAATAAACCTGCTACTGCCAGTCCTTTTATGCCTGATTCTTTATTATGCTTAATCTTTTACTTAGCATATAAAATACTTCTTTAGAAGTGCTGGTTAGATTAAACATATATAGAAATATATAAGGATTGTATCCTGCTCTTTATTCCACTGGGAGCCTTGGCTAGATTTCTTTAGCTTCCAAAATAAGGTCAAACCTATATTCAGTCTGTAGTATTTCTATATAGGGATGGAATGTGAAAAGTTTACTTCAAAAAATTATTCACATGAAAAAGCAATTGCCCCAAAGCATAACTGCTGAGACCTCTATTATGTTTTTTTAAATATTCTGAGCTACTTACTTTAGGTATGTTATGAAAAGGCACAAAATATGTTAAAATGCGCAGTAATAAGATTGAAGAGTCTGCTGAAAAACAAAGAAAACAAAAAATGGAGCCTTTTAAAATACCTTTTACATGCTTTTTTAATGAAAAAATGCAACAAGAGTGTTCATGGTTTAATCTTTTGAATATCTTGCCTTACAAATACTTTGTATCCAAATAGAAAACACTCCTTTGAAGTTTAAATAATGTACTTATTCCATTGATTTATCTAATTTATTCACTGTCTTCCTCTTTTAGATCTCAAGCAGCTCAAGTGGGAGGCAGAACGCGACAAGTGGATTCACAATAAAGATGTGAAAAGTATCATCAGGCAGAAAAAGAAGTTCAGGCATAAACCACTGAAAAACAAACAAAAATACAAGCGAAAAAAATAAATGTAAATTCTTTTGATATTAACTACTACCAAATTGTTTCTACTTACTTTTAGGGTTTTTTTGTAAGCCATTTCTCTTCATCCATCTCTTTGAGCCCATAAATACCAGCCCACTCATTACTCTTGTAATATACTGTGAAAATAAATAAAAAATGCCTAAAACTTCGTTGAATTAAAAAGGAATTTTGAAGATATGTTTTGGGGTATATTTTTATTCTAATTTTCAGAGGGAAGTCCTGCAGAATGTTATCTATACCAAACAACTATATTTTAAAAAAATGGCTTGTTTCATGGACAGAAAGAATTGCACTCGATAATTAACCAAACATACCTTCCAAAACAGATGGCCACCTTCGCTTCATTTTATGTCTGAAATCTGGAGCAAAAGGAATTTCTATTAGTTACAAAGTACTACAGCAGACTTTAATACAGTAGTAGTACAGCATATACTTTTTTTACATTATCCTAATCTTTCAGAATTCACTAAATATGAAATGGTAGTTTATAAAAGAGGCAGAGCAAAATGTCACCTTATATTTTCAAAACTTTGAATGAAGTTAATATCCAAAGAATTATTGGGAAACTCAGATATTGTGAAATAAAATAAAAATCTCATGTTTCATTAATTTAAAAAATGGAAGGAGTAAGAATAAAGGCCTCAATATTACAGTGAGATTCTCAACGATCTACACTGAGATTAGCAATATTTAATGCATTCATAAAGTTTAAAGACTAGCAATGAATAAGCTTGTTGATGCAATTTTTTTGATTAAAACAAAATGAAATAATGAAGACCTTTAAAATCTGGAACAATGAGCATTAAAATACAGTTTAGTCTAAACAAGTATAAAGTTATGGACATTTAGAAAAATAATAATATTAATTGCAAATATGCTAGATGGATCTAAGCTAATGCTGACTATCCTTTAGAGCAGGGGTAATCAACCTTTTTATACCAACCACCCACTTTTGTATCTCTGTTAGTAGTAAAATTTTCTAACCACAGTAATGGTGATTTTATGAAAACCTAATGAAAATGTTTTTAAATAATGCTATGACTTTTTTAAAAAAAAAATTAATTAAATTAAAAAAAAGGAAAATGCTTCAGTATCAGACAAAACCCCTACCGCCCACCATGAAAGCTGGAACTTCCACTAGTGGGCAGTAGGGAGCAGGTTGACTACCACTGCTTTAAAGCAAGGGTCTCCCATCCCTGAGCTGTGGTCCACTATTGGGCTGTGAGCCATTTGGAACCAGGCTGTGGAAGCAGGCAAGTGTGTGCACAGATCCCCACTTGCACTAGTGATGGGGGCATTCGCCAGTCACTTGCACATAATTATTTTCCCGTACCCGTCACTGGTCTGCAAAGCTGGAAAGATTAGGGAACTTTGCTTTCAAGGATTTTGGAAATAGCGAATAGTTTCACAAAAGCATCTCCTTATGAATAAAGGCAAAAGAAAAAGGAACAGGAAAATAACATAAAAATAAGTAATACAAATCTGTAGTTTGATCATATCTGAAATGTGGTTACAGCTCTGGTCATCACACTTCAAAGACAATAGTATGCTGGGAAAGCCGGAAGGAAGAGAAGACTAGCAGACTCAGTTACAGTAGTAACGGGTGTCATTGGGAGACATGAAAAAAAAGGTTATAGACAGATCATCACGGACATATCTATACAGTTGTTAGTTGAAAATGCCCTTAATGGCACATAAGCAAATCTAATGATAGTGAAAGTGCAGGAAATGTGGACCAGTTGCTGCTCTATGAAGATTACAATATTTATGAACTAAGTCAGATTATTTGATAAGTGAGGATGTGTAAAAAAGGTGTTTTCCCATTGTAGATCTAGCACAAGCATACTTACTATATCATCACAGACTTCAAGAAGCCACACCTTTTCCTGGTCTTGCTCAATAATACCAGGGACACCCAGAAAAATACTACATGGCTTCCTTATGGTGCGGCAGTAAGTGTACCAACACTAGAGCCAAAATATTTTTCCCATTTCAGATATGACTGCCCACATCAATGAAGTTACTTCACATAAAGTTGCATCAGATTCTTACCTTCACTCGAGTTCATTTTGTAATACAAAGTATATGCCCCCAGAACTCCAATAATTTCCAAAATTAGAATTTTTTTGAAGAACCTGATGGAAGATTGGGGATTCATTTTTCAGCCAATCCCAAGTCCTAGTGATAAAAGTGAATAGGGATCAGTGGTGACAACATTTCAGTAGTAACTGAAGAACAAGAAATGAAACAACTTTACACAAAGAAGCTGAAAGGGACAGAATTAAGATGTATGTTTTTTCAGATACATATCTCACAGTTTGTTAATAGATCTCAAGTTTGTTAAATCACTGCTGAGGTACTGGATATTCCAATGATTTTTATTTTGAATCAAATATAGTTTACTTCCAACATTCACTCAACAGGCACAACAAGAATGGAATGTTTAGAAGATAGTTCGATCACTTAAGAATGCGTCTTTGTTAATACGTTATGTATAAATATCTGACATGTTCTAGATTATGTGAATGTGTCCAGTTTTCATCATTAAGTGCAATAAGAGGCAATGTATGATGAAAGGAGGTGAGCCGAGGTGGCGCAGTGGTTAGGGTGCAGTACTGCTGGCCACTTCAGCTGACTGCAGTTCAGCAGTTCTAATCTCACCAGCTCAAGGTTGACTCAGCCTTCCATCCTTCCGAGGTGGATGAAATGAGGACCCAGACTGTGGGGGCAATATGCTGACTCTGTAAACCGCTTAGAGAGGGCTGAAAGCCCTATGAAGCGGTATATAAGTCTAACTGCTATTGCTATTGCTACTAACATGAGTGATAAATGCAATGGTAATACATTTATTTTGCAATATATCTGACTGATAAAATCACAAAATATGTATAAAGGATGAGCAAATGGGCTAAGGAAATAAAAAAAAAGCATGGAATTGAGTTCCCAAAAGAAAGGGACTAGTTTAAAGCAGTGGTCCCCAACATTTGGAACTTGGTGGCCCAGCTGTGTGTATGGGGGAGAGGGAACCAGGCCATGCCAATGTGCACATGCGTACACTTTTCAACTTGTGAGCGGTGAGCCGGCGTGCATACATATGCAGCTCGAGTCAAGTACAGCTGTACGTGCATGGACGCCAGCCCGCTACATGTAGGAATGGGGTTGCACACAGGCATGCACCCTGGGCTGCCTCCCGCATGGTCTGGTTCCAAATAGACGGTGGTCTGGTACTGGGCCATGGCCCGGAGACTGGGGACCCCTGCTTTAAAAGACAAAAGGCAATATAAGAATGTATAGTTGATGTTAAGCAAAGATTTTCAAGTGAGCAGTGAAATCATTAAAGACAACTAATTTGAGTATTATAATAACTATTCAAGTGTTAGTTGTATTAATCCTGTGGTTTTGAAATAGCCCTTAGTCTGCAAAATGCACTCTTGCGGTTAAATTTTAAAATGAATCTGACCTGACCTGAATTCTAAGCATAGTGCAATGTAGAGTTAATGCACCAAGTGCCATTGGGGAGATCACATTCTTGTCAATGCTCAGTCACATATAATGACTGACTTGGGCATGACTTTCTCAGCTATTTGTGGAAAAAAATGAGATGAGGGGATGCTTGTGTCCTACCTTCAGATTCTGAAGAAAAGGCAAGATAATCAATTTTTATTATGGCCACTGACCAATATCACAAATAAAAGGATTAAAAGCAACAATAATTAAAAAATAAAAGACAATAAATTACAATTAGTGATGAATTATCAGCGGGCAGTTAAAGTCTGCTTAATTTTGCATACCATATAACAAAATCTGGCCACATTAAGAGAAATTGCTTCATGCTGATCTGATAACAGTAGTTGTATATAAAAGAGATCAATATTTCCCAGTATTTTATTAGGTGAGGTGTACTATATAGCTGGACATGAGCTATAATTTCAATGGCTTCTTATCCACAGGGGCATAATCTCAACTCATGGGTTGTTTTTTTTTTGTATTGGCCCTCCAAATTGTTGTGGGAAGTGCATTGCAAAGCGCTAAGGTTTAATGCCCTTTAAATTTTTGGGACAACTATTCTATAAAAGTATCTTGTTGCTTTTGAAAGGGGAAGTTAAGACTGCTAAAAAACATTCTTGGGAAGAGCAGTCAGATCTGATCTTTGATGTGTAATTTAAGTGCACTAAGTACACCCCCCCCAAAGCAGGATACAAATCTATTAAAGATTAAAAGTATAAATATAAAAGCTAACATTCTTCACCGAAATTTGCTTGCCAAAGACTTGCCAAGGTCTTTGCTGATGATTACTTCCATTTTATTATACTGACAGTGGGATAAAATCATATATGACTGCTGTGGGAACAGGTATTTGAATTGATCAGCTTGCTGGGCGGGGGCTTCTGGGATTTGAAATCCACACATCTTAAAAATTGCCAAGTTGGAAGAACACGAGGTTAGTCCATCCAAAACACATTTGCTGCTACGGAGAACTGCCATTTGCTCTCCGAAATCAGCCCTTCCTCCTGATTCAGAGGCAGATAAACTCTTCGTTCTAACTTCAGGTCAAACCCGGACTTTCTATGGGTGCCGTCAATGTAGAGATGCTAAGTTTCCGCGCAAAAAAACCACGCTGCGGGGCATTGTTCTACTTTTCTCTTGGGATGGAACATGCAAGCAACAATTACCACTGACACTTACAATCCAACGTCCTCTACGTAAGACACGCTTCCAATCTTCCTTCCATGCCTCTTTTCTTCTTACCTCCGAGGGAGGAGCCAAGCCTGTGCGCGCAGGCGTAAAATGTTTTTCGAGTCTGGCGGAGCTCAGCGACTGCTTTCCATTTTGCGCATGTGCAAAGGTGTGACATCTTCGAGCTTACGCAATTTACTTGAATCCCGCAAACAACGCTTTATTTTTCGTCCCCGCGGCAGTTTATTGAAGCAATAAACTGGCAGAGCAGAGTACGCTCTCTGTCGGCGTGTTTTGGAATGACCTTCGCAATACAGTACAATGAAGTATTCTCAGTTCAAACAAAAATTAGTCGCGCAGCAGCGATGCTAAAAGACGCTCAGAGAATTTGCTAGTGCTAATTCGTCTTTTATTCCTGGGGCTCGAACTACCTACTACAAGTGTACCTACTGCAGCACTTGTAAATCATAATACGATAATGCCTCACTATATAGAGTTACGTGGTGAAAACTGAAGATCTTATTGCACTTTGCCCAACGGTGTAAAAATTAGGATGGCTTTGTACCTATAATTTGGGAGCGTCTACTATCTTACTTTGCAAAGTTCCTGATTATGGTATAAGAAATTAAACTGTAACATCCTTGGCTGCCAAGGATGAATCTATTTCTGATTATATTGTGTTTGTAACTGTGATTAGCCACTCAGAGTAACTACAATAAAACTGGTGGCCATATGCAGTATATTGAAATAAATTTAATGTTGATAGGAGATGCTTATTAAGCTATTTAGATCTCCCCCCTCTCTCTGTGTGTGTTTAATCTATTGTACTTTGTTGACTCAGCCAAGTCAAAGTTTCTTGGTTTAAATGGGGATTACCTGCAAAAATATAAACAATATTTAAACAGGAGGACTTGACAGTTTTTATCTCTTGGAGAATAGAAAGGGAGGAGCACAAGACGGTAACCCAAGCTGCCTGCCTTCTTACATAAGTCAGAAAACAAAAGGATAAGTATCATGCTGTTTTGTCCACCTCTCAAAAAACCTTTAAAAGCTTTTGGTGCCTTAACAACAGGATAGTTAGCTTAGAACAGAGAAAGCAACCATGACACAGAAAAAAATTGCAGAAGAAATAGAGAAAGCACTGGAAAAATCCAAAGGACTTAACCTCCACGAACTTCTCTTTTCCTACCAGGGGACTCTCTACCCGAATACAGTGTGCAGTGCAGAGACGTTCCAAGCCCTGGAGAATTTTGAAAGCAGAAAAGATGATGCTGTGTTGGTTTCCTATCCCAAATGTGGTGAATAGAACTCTTATGTTATTTTGTGGCCAAATGAGATCATAAGCAACTATTAAAAAAAACTTTTTCAACATTGTGTATCTGAAGGTGTAATGCAATATTTATCATTACCCTTGAGATGGTTTATACAGAAATAGCACCACTAATTCTCCTTTTTCTAATAAAGCTTTTTGTACTGGAATTAGCTTTACAATTATTGTGGTAGTTGGTGTTAAATGCTTCATTATGTAAGTAAACTATATAAGCTATACACCAAGGAAAGAAAAGAATAGTAAATAAAATGTTTAGTGAATGATTGGAATATGTCAATTAGCATTTCCTTAGCTTATTTGAAGAGGTTTTTAAATCTTAAAAGTATTTTTATAATAATGAAAAATCACTTTGTGCCATTAACTGATGATTTCAATGCAAATATATACTTTATGTCAGGTTCCGAAGGGAGTTGACACTTTAGTTATTTAAAATGCTTTATATGATTTTAAGATACATTTCTTTATGGTTCAAGCATCGTCCCAAGTAATTTCTTTAAAAAAGAATTGGCTTAATGTACTGTGTGAATGTGATTTATTTAACAAAATATGGGGACATCTATGTCTAAACTTCATTAATGGCTGATTCAAAGATTTTGGCTAAATCATGTCTTTATAATTAGGCTTAAAACTTATTTGCATTCATTGTCTTGCCCCTTCACTTGTGGTCCTCCAACTATTATTATTTGAAGTTTTTTTCAAGTCTAACTTTATTATTTTGATAAATAAACAATTCAATGCAGTGGACATATCCCATATACCTTCCTCCTTCTATTTTACCCACAATCACATCCCTTGACATGAATTGGACTGAGAGAAAATGACTGGCCCAAAGTCTTCCAGCTGGCTTTCATGCCTAAGGTGGGACTAGAATTCAGTCTTCTGGTTTCTGTCCTGGTGCCTTAACTGCGGCTAGGTCAAACTGGCTATATCTACTTCCTCATTTGTAATCTGCTATGCTGTCTATGATGGTGAACAAACACCCCAACTTGGCTTTGAAAAAAATAGAAATCCAAACTTGAAATAAAAATCCCTTTCTGATTTTAGGGCATTAACAGGAATATTTATTTAATTACATGTGAGGGAATATATCAAAGCATGGAAGAAAGCATTTACAAGCTGAAGCAGCTATATAGCTTATAATTTAGCAATCTGGCGAAGATACAGCTTTAAAATACCGTATGGTACAACTAATATTATTTGTACACTAATTGAAACCAATGGATAGTTTCCATCTCACCATATCTAGCTGCAAATTATTTTGCATTAGGTAATGAAGCCTTACTGTGTTCAACAAGAATAACACCTTCCTTAGATTTTTATTATGATTTTTCCTGTTTTTTTCTTCCCCCAGGAGCAAATTGGTTGATTCTCATTGTGAATGATCTGATTGCCACAACGTTGAAAGTTAAGCAGGAGAACACAGAATTGCCATTTATGGAGTGTGGAGATCCAGAAAAGTTTCAGGTTAACTAGTAACAAAACTTGGCTTTCCAAAATGGGATATTTCGTCTGCACCTCTGTGGTAGTTGTTGCAATGAAATAAGGCAATAGAGAAAGTTCTCTTGTCTGGAATGTGCCTCTAGTCTTCCAGCAATATCTCTAGTCATCAAATGCCCAGCAATGTGATTTTATTGCTTTTCTGGAATGTAAAAATAGAGTGATATGAAACATTTGACATATCTCAATATTGTTCTGTTTGGTGTCATACATGTGCTGATGGGATTTACAGAATCAAAGTTATTCTAATTGCCTTTTTATATATGTAGGTGATGAATTGATTTTTATATGTCAGTAGAACTAATCTGTACATGCACGAGTGGCCCATTTGATATGGTTTCCCCCCATCTTTCCTTGTTTTTGTTTGTAAAGAGGATGAAACAATTTCCTTCTCCAAGGATTGTGGCCACGCATCTCCATTACAACTACCTGCCCAAATCTATTTTCAAAAATAAAGCCAAGGTAGGCATTGTGTTTCACATTTAGTTCTGCAGTTTCTTAGATAAGCAATTCATAGGAGTGGGCCTACTGTAATATTTATGGGAATGATATAATATGTGAAATTAGGCAGTAGCCTACTGTAGCCTGCAGGTTACTAATAGTCAGCTAGCATGACAAAGTATTGAGAAAGCTGTAGTCCAGAACATTTGGAAGGAAAGTATCTGATATAGCCTAGCAAATATTTTACAATACTAGGTATTGCGACAGTTTAGCTACTAGAGTCTATAGACTATAGATACATATTAGGAACATAGGATATCAAGCGTCTAGTAACCCTTTTCAAAGTAAATTAACTAGGAAAGAAGCTCCCTTGACCACAAGAAATCAGTGGATAGTGGTAGCTGTGTGAAAGATGGCATTGTATGCTGCCCTAATCTAGAGGACGACAAAATGGCAGCAAAGAAAGAACTGAAAACTAATTCTCTGCTGCCATTTGATGGTTGATTGGATTTGGGCAGTATAGACCTTTATAAAGATACAAGAGGATTTGGAGTATGGGTAACTGCTTTCTGAAAGATCCCATTAAACAATTAATGGGTGTAATTTCAACCTTTAGTTTCCTTTTAAGTGTAGTTTAGGTAGTGCTAATCATCAGTATCAATAGGGACTTTTATCAGTAATACAGTAGTAATACAGGAAATTTAAAATGTCTGTTCTTTTTTCTTACCTTAGATATTGGTGTTGTTTCGAAATCCTAAAGATACAGCAGCATCGTTTTTCCATTTTCATAATAATGCACCAACCATTCCCAGTTATAATTCATGGGAGGAATTTTTCCCAGAATTCATGAATGGAAAAGGTAGTCTTAATTTCTCAGATTGGCTCAAATATAATAATTTGGGGAAGAGAATGCTAGGCTAATCTGATCAATCTGAGCACTAAGGAAAAAAATGAGATGTACCACTATGATTTCTAATAGGAGTGCTGTCAAACTTGCTTGTCTTCTTCTTCTTCTTGTGCCATATCCATCATCGGATGTTAGTGATCATGTTGGCAATCCTATTTTTGACAACAGCCGCATGAAAAAGTGCTGCTGAGTTTTGTCCAAACCATTCCCTTAGGTTTTGAAGCTATGATGATGTTCTTCTGCCTGGACCTCGTTTGCCTTCAGTCTTTCCCTGGAAGATTAAGTGAAGGATGCCATATTTTTCTGGGTGTCGCATGACATGTCCAAAATATTCTAACGTTCGCTTTTTAATGGCTTTGATGGTTTCCCTTGGCTTTCCCAGGTGGTTTATCACCTCCTCATTTGTGATTTTGTTAATCCAGTTTATATATAACAGCCGTCTGTAAATCCACATTTCAAATGCTTCTAGTTTCTTCAAGTGGTTTTCTGTCAGAGACCAACTCTCTACTCCGTAGAGCAGGATAGAAAAGATGTAACATCTGACAAGCCTGATTTTCAGTCTTAGGCTTATGTCATGACTACAGAAGACCTTTTTCATTTGAAGAAGGCTGTTCGAGTTTTCTAAATCCATGTCTTCACTGATCATGTCCCAGCTTTCATGTAAATTAAAACTGAGGTATGTGATCCTTTCAACTTTTTCTAGTGGTATTCCTTCCTTGCTTTTGTAGGAAGTAATATACCCTCTGGAAGAATGTTTGGCTTTAAGAGAAATGAAAATGATATGATCAGAGCTTCATTTTCTGTGGTATACATGAACACATTTCTATTGCCCCTAAGCAAAAAGACCCCACAGATTTTTGAATTAAAGCTTGCAAAGTTTATTTGCTGGACGTGACTTTGGCATAGACAGCATAGTTAGACAGGATTTTGAGAACTAATTGTTGTCTCTATCCAAAGCTGAACTGAGAACTCTCACAAGTGCTTTCCACAAGAGCTGCTCCTATTTATATGGAAGTTCCCAGCAAGACTTTTGTAGTCTTTGTATCTTGAGAGCTTATGTAAGTAGAAACAGAAACTTGTTTCCAACCAGCAGAACAAACATCATTAGCACATTGCTTGCCAGGAGAAGAGATACTATTACCTTACAATTCCTATGGTCTTTAGAGAATTGCAGATCTTTTAGAGTTGATATGCAGGTTGATGCCTGGATACAAGAACAGGGAAATGAAAAGGAAATAGGATGTTTAATAAAAAAAAGTTTTGCCTCAATACTATATGTTATCCCGAGAGAATATGAATGCAATAATATATAAAAAATAACTTGCTGTTATGCATTGTGCAGACTTTTTTAAAAACAAATAAAGTCATTTTAATATACTGTCTTTATACCATAGTTGCCTGGGGATCCTATTTTGATCAGGCTATCGCTTGGAACAAACATATAGATGATGAAAACATTCTGATTCTGATATATGAGGAATTAAAGGAGGTGGGTGTATTCATAATCATGGGAAAAGCTTCTCCATGTACATCAGATGAAAGGAGGTTGTTCTAAACTCTTATTGGTTTTATAAGACATGGCGTGATCAAAAGGCTGGAATTCAAGTCTTAGTATATTCTATGGGTCATTTCCTTGTCCTGTTACCTGAAGAGTAAGTGATTGGGAAAAAAAGAGTGAATGGAAAAAGTTACTTCTCTCACCAGTGGAATAATTGCATGCACCCATATCCTAAACCCCTGGAGGTATAGGGCAATGATCTAGGCGTTCTTTTTTGATTTGGGATCTGAAGAGCTTTTAATACTCTAATGGCATTAAAATACATTTTAAACTCATTTCCTGAGCCATTTTGGCTTCATCTGGTTGAAAGCAATTGTATTACAACATTTGAAAAGTTATTATGGGAAACAGGAAGAACAAGCTCTATTGGAGAAAGTTGATACCCTGTTTTCTTAAAAAATGCCACTTCTTTATGATAATTTCCCCTAAAATGTAGCTTAATGATGTAAATGTCTTAAGTATTTGTGTATTTGTGTGAGAAGAGATTTAGATACTACTGAACTTTTTTAAAACAAGAAAAAAAAGTTGTTGGCCTCCATATGTCCGGTTTTTACACTCTCTGCACTCTGCAGGCCTCCCAAGCACTCTGAGCACTCCGTTTTTGCGAAAAATGGACCAGTTTTGGGGCTCCCAAACCCCACAGGAGTGCTGTTTTTGCTCTCTCCAGCCCCCAGGAGCACTCTGCAGGCCTTCCAAGCCCTCTGCATGCCCCATTTGTTGCAAAAAATGAGCTCGTTTTTTGGTGAAAATGGACATGCGGGGTGTGGTTTCAGGAGGCCAAAAATAGCCGTATTCAGAATATAAGACTCACCAACATTTCCACCCTCTTTTAGGGTGGGAGGGAAAGTGTATTTTATACTCCAGAAATTATGGTACCTATTATGGTTTATAGTCTCTATCAGAGGTGTCAAACTCACATCGTCTTGTCATGTGACGTATTGTGACTCTCCCCCTCTTTGCTAAAATCAGGGTGCAGTGGCCAGCGCATGATACATCTGGCCTTTGGGCCATGAGTTTGACACCCCTGGTCTGTATGGTTCCGTATAGAGTTAGTATATTGTTTGCAACTTTGCTACATGCTCAAAAGTCAACAGATCTAACAATAGCTTTTTAATCTGAAGCTACTCAAGTTTACCCTAAGAAATTGTGCTTTTCATAACATTAACATAAATAATGCATATCAAATATACAGTTTATACAACTTACATAGGATATTAATCACATCACAATATTGCTTTTAGGACCTGGTTTCGGGAGTAAAGCAAATAGCTAATTTCTTTGGTTTCCCTGCTACTACTGAGCAAATTCAGGCTATTGCAGACAGAAGTACCTTCCAAGCAGTGCGCGATAAGTCACAGGAAACACATGGTGCAGCTGGTCCACTGCTCTTCCGGAAAGGTTGGTTAAAAAAAAAAGAAAAGAAAACAGGATAATAATATTTTTCTAGTATTCCCCTATATCAAGTTTCCATTAGTAAGTGATGAGCATTCCTGACATCTCTGCTTATGAATGTCCCATAATTGTACACAGCAAACATACTTTGTAGGGTTTACAACTACAGGTGGTCTTCAATTTATGACCACAATTGAGCCCAAATTTTCTGTTGTTAAGTGAAATTTGCCCCATTTTACGACCTTTCTTGCCACAGTAAAGTGAATCACTGCAGTTGATAAATTAGTAACCTGGTTGTTAAGTGAATCTGGCTTCCCCATTGACTTTGCTTGTCAGAAGGTTGCAAAAGGGGATCACATGACCCCTGGTTACCTTGCAACCCCATAAATATGAACCAGCTGCCAAGCATCTGAATTTTGATCATGTGATCATGGGGATGATGGAAAGGTGGTAACTCTGAAAACCGCTCATAAGTCCGTTTTTTCAGTGCCATTGTAACTTTGAATGATCACTAAATGAACTGTTGTAAGTCGAGACTATCTGCTGCAAACCTACCATATTTTTCGGAGTATAAGATGTACCTTTTTCCCTCAAAAAAGAGACTGAAAATCTGGGTGTGTCTTATACACTGAATACAGCACTTTTTGCGTCCCAAACCCCGCCCACTTCATCAAAATGGCCATGCAGAGCCTGTAGAGGGCTTTCAGAGAGCTCCTGGGGGGCTGGTGAAGGCAGAAATGAGTGAAAAATGGGCCATTTTTTGCTCAATTTTCCCCCCCCCCCAGTCCCCAGGAGAACTCTATAAGCCTTCTAAAGGCTATGCATGCCATTTTTTTTGACAAAAAATGGGCAATTTTTTGCTCGTTTTGGGGCGGGGCACCCCAGGAGCACTTTGTAAGCCCCCTAAAGGCTATTCATGCCTTTTTTGAAAAAAAAAAAAAACAGGCCCGTTTTCACGAAAAACGGGCTGTTTTTGGGAGGTTTGCAGAGTGCAAAAACTTTTTTTTAAAAATTGCCACTTCAAAACCTTGGTGCGTGTTATACACCGGTGCATCTTATACTCCAAAAAATACAGTATTCATATTTTCTGGTGCGTCCTCATCAAGTGGGTGGTTTCAGAATGTCAAAACTTACATTTAAATTTCTGAAATTGGCAAATGGGAAGAAAAGCTACTATCTGATATCGTTTGTGGTAAATAAAAGAGTGATAGTCGAGGGGCATCACATTTTGTTGATATTCCCCCCCCCCCTTATCTGAATTGGAAGTGCATTGGTTATCCTGTATTTTTAAAAGGGTGAATTTGAGGTTAAGATGTGCATATTTTAAAAACTATAATCATTACTATAATACTTGTATCCAAGTTCTAAGAATTACTGGCCCTGCTGAAGTTGTTTTAAACATAGTCAAGTTTCACTTGCTGTGGCTGCCTGCAGACTACATAACAGGGTGCGGGCATATAAAGAGTTTTTGGCTTCATTTTCACAACTGGCTCTGGTGCTTGTACATGAAAGAAAATGCTGGAAGCAAGACAATAGATTTAATAGATTTGGCTAAGGGGGAACCATAGAAATTTGGTGGACGGGTTCATATTTCTCCAATCCTCAGTGCATTGTATCATTTTTGTGCCCAGTTATCAAATTACAAAATAATTTGAATTGTTATTAGAACTATCAAATAAGTGATTGTTTTTTTTTAGCCTCCCATTTTCTTTTTGTTGCAGGCATTGTAGGAGATTGGAAGAATATTTTTGACAAGCCTCAAAATGAGCAAATGGAGGCTAAATTTAAGGAATGTTTAGCTGGAACGAAGCTGGGAACCAAGCTGAAGTATGATGTCTACTGCAAAACATGAACGTGTATCTTGTGGAAAAAAATATTATTTTTATGGAAGTTTTGATTGCTTGCATAAAAAAGGATATAACCAGAATGCACATTTCACTATAGCTAATCTGTGAAACTCTTTAATATCACATTTCTAATATAGGATAACCCTGTATTAAGCTGCATAATATATAGCCAGACTATTTCATAGAACAAGACAATAATTTCTGCCAGATATATGCAAGAATCTATTTCAATATTTCTAAGGACAAGAGGACATGATCTACCTAGGCTTATTGGGAAATGTGCCTGTGCAAATAAGAGTTTTGAAGCACCAGTAATCAGGGGATATCTCATAGTCCAATTACTCCATTCTTCTGTTATTTGGAGCAAAACTGAAGTACTTGCTTCTGAAGAATTTGATATATGGAGAGGACCCACTTCAAGAGAGTGAGGTAGCTGCGTCATTTCACTGCTGCTTTAGAACTTTTAAAAAGACAGACTATCAATATTGACTTTGGGCAATTCTATGTTAATCACCCCAAGGAGATCAGTGATTTTCCATTAGTTGAGGATATCACTGATTTTCATTCAGGACATTGAACATTGAGCAAAGAGATTGGTAGTTGATACCATCTATTTATTTCTTTAAGAGACACTGGAAGGAGCTTATAATTTTAAGAATAATGAGCATATCAGAAGTAAAGTTTTACCTAGAGAGGAGGGGAAAGCATCTTGTCATGTTAACAGCCCTTCATTTACCTTGTAATGCAATAATTCACAGATGAATATTGAATTCTGTTTATTAAAATAATTCAATATTAAGACCAAGATGAAAATAGAAAATGAATGTGTTTAGATTTTTACATGCTACACTATGTATGAATCATGACTTATTATTATAGTACCTGGGATCACACATAGTAGCTGTGATCATACAATCTGTTAATCCAAAACCAAACCAAACACATTATATCTTAGCATATTGTGTAGCCATACATAACTCTTAGTAAATCAAATGTTCAAACTCATGTTTTCTGATGTGGAATAATCTGTTACCTTTGGTCATATAATAAATACTTTTCATGTATAAAAATGACAATTGAGTTACAATCCTGGGGATGCAATAATGCTTGTAAGCTATTTCTCCCTATAGCAAAGTCATATTGTGGCATTAGTCTGTTTGACAGAATGTGCTAGAAACATAAATATGAAATACTCAAACTGGTGAATTAATTTGAAATGTATTCACTATATCAAGATGATTTTCCCCCCAGCATTTTGAATAGAAAATCTGCGAAATTTACTGTAGCACATGGACTGATTGTAATAAACTGTTTTTATTGTAAATTTTGTACAAATAACATTTATGTTCAATTGCTAGACTATTGCAAAGTGCTCACTTCAGCTTAACAAAATATTCCCTACCCTTGTCCTACCATATACTGGACTGACCTCTCCTCTGAAAGGATAAGCCCCTTTAAGTCATCAGGCAAGAGGCAGCTTCTCCTAGATCAGGGCTGTCAAACTTGCGGCCCACAGGCTGGATGCATCATGTGTAGACCACGCCCACGCCTGGTTTAGCAAAGAGAAAGAAGTTCTGATACATCATGTGACACTGCTGTGCTGCCGCAAGGTTGACAGCCCTGTCCTAGATTGACAAACCAGCATATGAGTTTGTGTGATGTCTTGCAACTGAAAAGCTTAAATTAATTGCAGGAAAGCAGTATAAGTGGATCGTGGAAGTCAGGTTGTATAACAGAGATGAAAAAAAAAGGACAGAGAAAAAGGTACAGCAGTCCAAGGAGAAAGTCAAGAATCAGTTACTTGGCATGCTCGCTGGTCATTCTAGGACTTGCAGTCCAAACATATCTGAAATGTGCCAGGTTGGGGAAGGCTGGTATTTTGTAACATTCAGCAAAAAAGACATTTGTATTAACAAGATAATGAAAACAATTTTGTATGAAGATAGCCTTATGTTAGTTTTTTTTTTTTTTACCGTTTACGACTTTGCCAAATATTTTATTGCAGGGATATCAAACTCAAGGCCCATGTGCTGAATCCTGCCCATGGGGTGCTGAAATCTGGCCAGCCTGGAGATAGCAAAAGACTGGTCCACAGTGCCTCGGGCAGCTAACACAGGGTGTGGGCCTGGTGCTGCCCATGCCCCATTTTCAGCCTGCATGGCCTTCTGCAGCAGTCTGCAAACCACAATGGGGCGTGGGGTGGGGAAACACGTGGCCTCTCCTGCCCTGTTTTGGCTGACAAAGTGCTGAAGGAGGCCATCCAGGCAAAAAACGGGACATGGGGGGGGGGGTCTGTGCACAGCCAGCTGCACCCTGTTTTAGACAGCAAAGTGCTGCAGGAGG